CCTCTCCTATCTTCTAAAAATACCTTTCAAAATACTGGTATATGTCCAGTGGAAGAAAGAACACTCCTAACCAGCAACTGCCAAGTAGTTTTTCTACTGCTTTATTCCAAGGGCAGGAAAACAGTGCACTTTAATGTAAGTGAACTGATAACAGACTGGGATGGGAAGAATACTGAAAAATAACAAAGTATTAAGAGAAAAATTCCTAAAGCGTAGGACAGTAAACTCCCAAAAATACTTTGGGAAGGAAATTTCTCTAAAGCACAAAGAGGAAGAAAACTCATCAATAGCACAGCAACAGTATCAAGGGACAGAAATTACATATCCTGATACAACAGATCACACTGACCTAAAAAATTCAGATCCTTCAACATTTTTTCCTCCTCCTTTAATATCCATAGCAAATATACTAGCTGTGACTCCTCAGTTTATAGAACATGGATTAAAATTCCCAGAAACTTACAGCTGACTGTGCTACCCTAAAGCACAAAAAAAAACCCACCAAAAAACACAGTCTCCCAAAAACAGATCAGGCTACAAAGTCAGTACCTTTTATTTTTTGTTGAAGCCCATAGATTAGGTAATTTCTTGTGACAGAGTTAGTTTCTGGTCAAAGATCTGTAAACTCTAAGGCAGATTACCAATAACCACAAGTCTATCTTCTGGGGTAGATGAAAAACTTTCTCTACTTCTGTTAAGTATATGGGCTGAGTCCTTAATTAGGGCTTTGGACAAAGTGTTATCGTAGAAGCCACTAGTGACACTACAACTAAGTTCTGATCCTGTGGTAAGAACTCCCAACGTCTGTTCCCCAAGATAAAAATATCAAGTTGTTGTTATGTATTGTTAAGCATTTCTCCCCTGCCTCAGAAGTAGTAGTAAATAAAGTTCATTGTACAACAGATACATAACTCTGTGCTTTATGCTAAAGAGCTCTATTGCAAGTGTGTTGTATAAATACAAAGCAAAAATGGATACTGTTCCAGAAACTGCATAAACATAAGTACCAGAGACAAAGACAGATGCAGGTGACATGGGACAGTGAGACAGTATCAGCACTTGAACCAAGTATCCTAACCTGAGTCATGTTTTTATTGCTGTATTTCAATGTGTTTTTCTTAATAGATCCACAGATACAGGGGAGTTTTAAAAAATATCAGTTAATTGATTCTGTAAGTTCTTAAGGGAATTGTGCAAGGGGCAGCAATAGTGACAGCTGATAGTTTGAGAATCCAGCAAATTAGAGACAAGAAAGAAAAGCTGACATCTTGACAGAGCAGATTAGGAGATTCAGTTGGGGGATTTACACACATAAAAAAAGAAGGCACACAGTTTGAGTCTAACAAAGCAAAGAGGAGATGTGGAAGACGTAAGGACAGCAGTGACAACACCAAAGCAATTGACTGAGGAAGTAATCTCCACAATATCATTCTCAGTAGAGTGAGCAAAGAAGATAGACTATGTCAAAGCCCATTAACAAACAGATGCTGCAGTTATCAAGAACAATTTGATTGAAGCCTCAACTTTCAATATGTGATAGATAAGGTCAAAAGTTTAAAACTGTGTAAAGAGAAACTGCATAATGCAGCTTGAGAAAAAGCACCTAGAATAGGGTCTAAACTATGATGCCAATGCAGATGATGCCAATTTGTAAAACAGTTTTGTTTTCTGATAGAAGTCAATAGGGTCTTATGAGGGGCAACAACCCCTGGAAGAATGAAGAAAAAATTTGTCCCATATGTCAAGATGACTGGGGTCTAACTCACAAGAGCCACAAAGCACTGCACTCACTGCGTGATGTGTGAGACAGCTGGGGCAGGACCCCATGAGGAACAACCTCTCTCTCTGTTCTTCCACAGACTTGCAGTGCAAACTTGGATTTAACCCCTAACAGCATTTTCTTACCACGAGATAGTCAACCTCTTTTTGAGGAGCTCAGATATAGTGCTGTTATGATGAACATGATAGAGAAGTTTGTATTTCACAGATACAAACTTTAGCTACCATCAGTTCTCTACAAACAACTGGTGGTCTAAAATGGGACCTTTCCTGACTAAATGGATTTGAACAAGCACAAGAAGTCCTCAGTTTTCTGAGCTTATAGTTATGTCTGCAAAGCACAAAAAGCTTTGAGCAGGCCAACACATCTGTGCAACATGGCACAAAGACAGTTATGTAGATCTCAGAATTATCATAGTTGTATCAGTGTAGTGCTGAGCCCAAGCTCAGAATTTCCACCTCTCAGCTAAATGAATTTGCTCAGGTACAGCTCCTTATGGATTAATCCACAGTGCTTCTGGATCTAGAACCAGATCAGGTATTTGCTTACATGCTATAAATGTTCTTTGGTTTCAGAGCTACCACCTCCAAGAAGCCAACAGGAACAGTGAGGTGAAACATAACTGCTTGAGCTTAACTCCAAGTTCCAAAGAAAACTGAAAAAGAAATCTTTTGGCCTTTTGTCCCCATCTCACTGAACCACTGTCAAGTTAGAGGTTTGTAAACAAGTATACACCTGTAATTATCTCAATCCATCGTGTTTGTTCAGCAGCATAACTAGTTCTGCCTAATTTTGTATTTTTTGGTAGCTTTTAACATTGCTATGGCAGAATCTAACACTGATAGCAAATCAGCACTTTCCTCTCTTATTTCCTAACTAATGCAACAATTTTCAAGTTCCAAAGGTCATTACACAAGACAGTTAAAGATAACTAGACTCCATAATTCTGATAAATCCTTATTTTTCTACTCAAGCTTAAAGAGACACACACCCTCAAACTCTGAACCTCCACATTTCAAGTTATTAATATTTTGGCATTTTTGGACAAAAAGTTGGTTTAAATAAAGAATATTTTAATGATTTCTCCCCAAATAATGACAAGCACAAAATAAGTTTTATATATATATATATATGTAATATAGCTAAATTGGCTGATCAGTATTATCAAGAGCAAAAGATGCCACACAAGATGTCTTCAAAGCTAGCTAGTCATCTGACAGGCCTCTCTAAAAAAAGATCTTCATGTTCACTAGCAGAAACATTACTATAATAGCAAGCACTCTTCAAATTCCAGCTGCCAGAAAATATTTTAATTGAAAACTCTCAAACTCCTTTGACACTGGCTGTGAGATGTCACATAAGTATTCAGCTGTGAGGAAGAGAAGATCACTCCAGATGGAAGAGCTCAGATTCAACATCTTGATAGTGATACAAGATCATTTTTGGAGGGCTTTTTCAACCCAACCCTGTTCTGACCAAATTGCTATGATCTGATAAAGGACCACTGCTGTCCAAATACGGAAGTTGGCTTTATTGCCCATGACATTAAAATAGCAAATGCACTTGCTAGCAAGAGGCAGCCAAAGGTCTACCTCAATAAGGCTTACAGATTCATGAGTATAAATATAACTTAAACCGGTACAACCACAGTTGTCACAGTTTGTGAGCAGCTTTCCAAGACAGCCCTGTTCCAAGGCATTTCAGAGCTTTCTCTAGTGGCTAGATAAGGATTATTGAAAAGTCTGCATCTTAGAGTAATAGTTGCATCTGTCATACATTACGAGGAAATCTGTGTTTGTTCAGGGCTTAGAAATACACAAACTTAGGACTGCTACTACACCTAAAACTCAAGCACTCAGTTTACAGTCACCAGGGTCCCTCAAAGTGTGTTTTCTATGTCAGCGCACCACAAGGACTGTCATCCTTTCCTCCCTTCCCCCTTCAAAAGCCATGTGAGTTGGCAATCAGTACACCTGAATGGACAAAAAATGTGACCCAAGTATTTTGCAACTATTCTATATTATGGTATAATTACTGTATATATATATATATATATATATATATATATATACACACACACACTCTTCTATAGTATAGAATAGCTATGAGATACTTAAGTCATATTTCCTTGCAGTGCATGATTGGCACATTGACTAAGATGGATACAAATAACTACAATACCAACAATCACAGTATCATCACAATTCTTTTTACTGATGTTAGCATGAATATGTTAAATTAGAGCAACCAGATATGGAATCTTCAGGTGAGTACACATTTTCTTTCAGTGTCTCCTGAACAAGGTTTAACATAAAAAAAGCAAACTGGAAGCCAGAAGACAAAGTTGAATTTTTACTTGTGTAATTAACCTGCTCCATGACTTTCACATGTTGCTGCTTTTATATTTATAAATTATTTTTACCTTGTAAAGTGCTTATGCTCACCAAATGTAGAGGCCAACAGAAGAGTTCTTTAACTGCATATATTGAACTCCAGACACTCTAAAATAGTGCCTCATGAGCAGCTGTTCCTAGTCAAATAGTTTCTATCATTTTTATCAGCAGGTCTACCCCAAATTGCTGGCAATTTCCCCCTCTTTCACCAAAAGGCTAACATGTAACAGTATTTGTGACAAGCAATATAGCCTAACCATGATATCTGTAGGACTTGGATGGCACACTTGGGACACTTATTTCTACTTTGTTCTATTTCTAAAAATCAGATAGATTTACTGGTACTAAAGGAGGACAGCAAGGAGCTTTAGTCTTGCATTAGCACTGCTTGGTACAGTGCCCTCTCCTAGTTATACGGTAGGAGATTGGCAGCCAGTACTCCCATTTGCAGGATATACTGCCATACTGTCCATACAATTCTGTTCAGGAATGATCAGCATCCTGCACAAACACCTCTTATCTTAATTGTGTGTGTCTCAGTACAGTCAATTCTTCCACCAGCTTTGCTTACCAAGCCTCTTAGAAGAGGCCCTTGCCACACCTAAGGTTTAACGAACTTGACCTTTTGAGGAACTCACCAGCAAGGCCACTCACTCCAAGGTGCTATGTCTTTTTAGCCCAAGATGCTCCAAGGCACTTAACTGGCCATTGTTTTGCTACCACTGCTGCCAGTTACACTTCACATACTAAGGATGCATCACAGCAGCCTGTTAGATTAAGATAGAAACTAAAGGATCTTGCCCGTTCAAACAAACCACAGTTCTTACCTGAATCTCCTCAGTTTCATCCACTAAGAGGAAACTCACTACTTTCTCTGTCATCTTCCTTCTCTTGGTCTCCTCATCCATCCCCTCCTCCTCTTCCTGTTCTTGGGCTTTGCCAGCATGGTACACAGTGACAGGGTGCTTCCTTCTGTTCCCCCCAGCATGTGTTCTCTTCTGACACTCCACACAGAGGTTGATTTTGCACACCTGGCACCTCACTGCTGCTACTTGCCTCGAGCCCGTCATACTGGCATGCATTATGTTCCCATTGGCACCTTTGCAGGAGTCACAGTACGGGACATGGCCGGGTCTTATACGGGTCCGTTCGTGGTTCCGTAACCTTTCTGGCTGATGCAGCTCTTCTTCACAACGCTGGCACTGTAGGCTCCTGCACTCGTCACACTCAAAGATTGCTTCATCTGTCCCACTGCAAACATAGCTTTCCTGGCACAGGAGTGTCGTGTTCTGTCCCTTCTCTGCAGTTTGCGTGTGAGCACTCATCTTCAGATTTCTTTAAAGCAATGTTTTTCCCTCCTGTTTCTGTTTCAAACAATGATATGTGTAAAAGTCAGTTGCAAATTTAGTATTTTCATAAAGGAAAGAAACACAAGAGGAGTGTTGTCTGTACTTAATTTTAAATAATTAATATATATGTTTCTGTAAGCTTCAAACACTGACCTGCCTCACGGGAAGAGTCTTTTTAAGTGTTAATGAAGTTTTCTTTCTCCAAAATAAACTTAAACAGCATGGCTGGTTTCATGTATTACTATACCCAAATGCCAGTGTACATTCTTTCTCTGCTTAGCTGTCTCACATATTTTCAGCGATGAGAAAAACAAAACCCAGCCTGGTGCACTTCAGCAGGTACAGCAAGTATTTCCCTGAAGCAGAGATCGGAGGGAAACAGCTGCTGACAGAGACAAAAAAGGCATCAGAAACACACAAGTGCATATACATATACATGTACACACACACACACAAAAGGACCGTGTCAAGACTAGAAAATTCTCTGCTTTCACTCCACAGCTAAGCTCCTCCTTCAGAGAGTTTACAGTATTTATTTGCTGGGAATTTCCTGATGTGCTTCGCCGGATAAACAAAAATCCGCTCTCTTCGTGCGCTCCTAATAACGCTGGAAGACGATTGCTACCGCGGCCAGGCTTGTCAGAAGACGGATTTCCTCCCTCTTCCTCAGCGCCCCAAGTTGCCAGAGCCAGAGCCCCGAGCCCAGCGCCCGCCGAGGGCAGCCTGCGCACCCCGCCGCCTCCTTTGTCTAGACCTGCTGCCTCCGGGCCGCGCGGGGCACCAGCCCTGGGCCGCCTCCCCTCCTCCAGCCAGCGCGGACGCCCCTCGCTCCAGGATGACCCCCTCTGCCGGCCGGCCCCGCAGCCCCGGCGCCGGGCGGGCGCTGCCCCGCGGCGGCCGCACTTGTGGCTCGGCCGCCCCCGGGGGCGCCGGGCGGACCCCGCGACCCGCCCGCGGTTACGTAACGGCGGTGCCGGCCGGCGCCTCCCCCCGCCCGCGCCTACCTGGGGCTGCGCTCGGCGCCGCGCCGGCCGGAGGGAGCGAGGGAGCCCCCGGGTTCCTCCCGCCGAGCGGCGGCAGCGGGCGGGGAGCCGCGGCGGGGCTGCGAACAAAGGCGGCGCGGCGCGGGGCGCCGCGAGCCGGGCTATTGTTTACAAGCCGGCGGCCACCTTTCTTCCCCTTCCTCCCGCCGGCACCCGGTGACTAAGGACTCGGGTCCCGGCCGCCGCTTCCTCCTCCCCCCCGTCCCCTCCGCGCCCGGGGGGGGTGTCCCGGTTCTCCTCCCCCAGGGGCCGACCATGCAGTCGGGGCGCCCGGGGGGACTGAGCAGAGCAGGGCAGGGCCGGGCAGGACCCGCGCCCGCTCCGCCTGCTCCCCTCGTTGTCAGCCGGGATCAGCTGATCGCGGGGAACTTCGGGGTTATTTTCTCACCGCGGAGACGGGAAGGCGGCGGCAGGAGGCGGGGCGGCGCTGGCACGCCGGGAGCTGTAGTCGGGGGGCCGCAGCGCCCCGGCCCCGCCGCGGTTGCCGTCGGTGCAGTGCCCGCGGTGGGCAGGCGGTACCTCCGGCCCTTGCCATGGCCCCGGGGGTTTCTGCTCCCCTCGTTTTGTGTTCCATCTCCGCCTCGCACCTGTCTGGGTCCCCCGAGGAGCTGCGCCGGAGGAGTGTAAATAGGCCCCAGCAGGGTTTGAGAGCGAAGCTCTTTACTGCCACTGCATGGAGAACAACCAAGCGGCTGCTCCCAGGCCTCCAGGTTTGGCAGATGAATAGATCGCAGTGTCCACTTGGCGCCCAGCTCTCATGGGTTTAAACGAAGTCTTGACAAGGAGAGCCACCGGCCACTGTCATTGCGACCTTTTTTTATATTTTTTCATGACAGTGGCCTCAACCAATGAGTGAACTGCTGCCATTTATTTAGCTGGAAAAGAATGCACATCTGAAATAGAGGCACACATCTGCCAAAAAATGGCAAATTCACAATCACAAACTGGAGCTGTGGGAATGGGTTGTGGATGCCAGACAGAAATGGTCAATGGAACTGCACGGTGAGGAAATAACCTTGGCCAGTAATGGCTCCAGTGAGCTTTTGGCTCATGGTACTGGCTGGAATAGGTATGATGCTACAAGAAAATGATGAGTTATTTTTTCATTGGCTGTACATGTATATGAAAGTATATGATTTAGATAATATGCAACAGTATTTTTGTTGTAGTATAGCCAGTGCACAGGGAATTTCTCTTCTAAAGTAGCAAGAATTTTTGGCTGGATGCTTGGATCAAATGCTTCCTCACCAGAGGAAGGACATGGGCCGTTTCCCTTCAGTGGACTTTTCATGTTGATAACCACTGACAGGCAGCTATAAAGTGCCCCTTCTTTGGTCCCCTGCTTTGGTTATAGACAAATAATTTCAAGAGGGAGCCAAATTACATAACTGGATATCCATGTAGAAGGCAGTGGTTGCAAGTTTACCTTTTCTAAGTTGAACTACTGTCATTTCACAAAACTAAGTCAGCAGGTCCAGTTACCACAAAAATGTGGCACTGGTGAAGTTCCTAACACTAGGAGTGACTGACGCCCTCTGAGAATTCAAGTGTATTGCTGAAGTACCACAGAATATTCTGTATTCTGTGAATGTATTCACAGAATATTCTGAGTTGGAAGGGACCCAGAACTGTTGAGTCCAACTCTGGCCCATACAGGGACCAAACCCACAACCTTGGCACAACCATATAAGCACCGTGCTCTAAGTACTTTTGTTCTACTAGATTCTACTATATATATTTGTGTAGGCATCTACATGATTTAACTATTTCTCTCCTATGCAGTTTAGTGATGATGAATGAATGAAGGTTGGCACAGTAACTCTCTTCTCTGTTCTCTTCCATACTGTTATGATAATGTATTTTCACTCAGTATTATGCGTAAAAGATTAAACAAAAAGATTAACAAAATAGACTGACATCTATGGAATACAGTATTGCTGAACTAAATGTCTTTGGAGTGAAAAAAATCCTAAAAAGTGTATATAATGAATACATATGAGATAGAAACTTTTTAATCTCACAGTGCTATTCACAAGGAGCCAAGGATTGCAATCACTGAGTCTGGCATTTAAGGGATACTCCTCTAAGTGGCTCTATTTAGACTTGTAATGTGATAGAGGGAGTTATTAAAGAGTATGAGGAAGAAAAGAAGAATGTGACTATTAATTTTGTGGTGTTAAAAAAGTACACCTGAAGCCTGCTCTGTTGAAAATATTACAAAATGTACAAAGTAGTTATTACTTTCTGATAAAGCCTAAACCTTCATCACCCAGTGTTTCCTACTTCTCTCTCTTAGTAAAACTGCAGCACTGCTCCTCCTGGAATAGGAAGAGTAGATTTAATTTCTCTTTTTAATTGCCCTCCTTATAACCATAGATTTGGTTTTGTTATACGTCAAAAATCAACTCGGTCTGTTCCTTGAAAACAAATTTTACTGATTTCCATTAGCGTAACATAGCATATGCTGAAGAGAGAGAAACTTGCACTGATTAAAGCACATAGGCAATAAAGATCCAAGTGATTAGTCACAGTGTTATAAAGACACTATCCTTCTCCACTGTGGCAGATCCTTTTCACACACCATTCTGGAACTGTGAACTGTTCACCCAGAAAACATTTATAATGTTGAAAGGCATATATATATAAAATGTTTAATATGCATAGTCTAGAAACAACATGACCCCTGTACCCTGAGGTGCTGCTTACCATGTTTGGGATGATCTCTGATGCTTGAAATGCAAAACAATTTGTAGACATAAAAAGCACCTCTTTTCATTTTGGCCTCAATACTAAAAGCCATATACTGCACTCTTCTTCATTGGCTTGAGCATGAAACTCTGGAGTTTTGTCCTAGTTAGAACAGCTGGGACCAGTTCATGGGTGTATGGGTATAACCCAGAACTGTGTATTCTATAGCCTTCCGTGCCATTTCCCAGAAACTTATCAATAGACCATTTACACCCTCTGCCCAGAGCAGCATGACTCCTCAGGCTATAAACTAGCTGTTAAGAGGCCTGGGAGAGAGGAGGGTGCCTCCTGTCCTCACACCCTTTGTGGAACTCCCCGCCCTGAGGCAAGTACTGGGCATTCCTGCCTGAACTGGAGAATATATAATCTTGGAGTCTTGGAACTTTTGGAACCACTCTTGGGATCCAGAGGAAGACTGCAGACCACCGCTCTCAACCAGACTGCAGACCACCACTCTCGACTGGACTGCAACCACCACCTTTCAGCCAGGCTGCAACCATCACTCTTGACCAGACTGCAACAGCACTCTCACCAACTCCTTTTACTTTGGACTCAGGGGGCCCAAAGAACACCACTCTCTTCATGCCCCAGGGTGCTGGGTTATACATTTGGGTTTTGTGTGTTAAAACCAATTGTTTGTCTGTATAATCGTACTTATTATATTATTTTATTAAATTGTTATTCTGATTTATAATCTCTCTTTTGGGTTGAGTTCATTTCCCCTGCTGGTTTACCTTTAAACCAGCACAAGTTTGCAGCAAGGAACTGAATAAAGTGAAGTGCAGTCAGTCTCTGGAAAGGGATCTCAGTTTCATAACTGAAGGGTAAAAAGATAACATGGATAGGTTTAGTGGTAGGTAATTCCAAAATTTTATAGCAGAAAGGGGAGAGATGTGAAAGTAGCTACATTTGTTGGGTGCTTCTGATGCTGTTCTTCCTTGATTAGGAAGGATCCTGGAGGCTATTCGGCTAAACAAAACAGATGAACATGTACACTAGGAAAGCCTTTGCAATGTTTCCTGTAAATACAAGCTTATTACAGCAGTGCAAGTGAGTTTGTGTTTCACATTTCTTTTTCAAGCAGGCAAAAGTTTCAGTCTGAGACAAGAGCATAGAAACAGAAGATTGAAGATTTTCGCTATGCCCTTTCTCTTTTCCTTGGTTTTTATAGATATGCTTATAAATTATTTTCAATATTAATAGTAGTCAGTATTGCAGTTATTAAGTTTGTGTTAGTTAAAGGGAGATATGCAGGCTGCTTGGAATAAGCTGTAATTAATAGAAAGTAAAAAGGTTGTTTCTGATTGGGGGAAGGAATTGCATTCAAACTTGCAGTATTTCCTAAATATGCTACTGCTAGAATATTTACCCTTACACATCATCATCTTGTAATGCAAGGTGATGAAGAGGACCTCAGTTGTCGACTGTTCAGTAGCATGTATGACATTAGCCAGATAGTTTTAATCTGCTTTGTACTGAAGAAGTCAGTCTGCTTCAAATGTTTTTCTTGCCATTACAGGTGGAAGAGATTTTGTCATTCAACTCTAGTCTTCAGAGCACTTTTGAACAGGGGAAAATGTAATACAGATTTTTTAAACAGCTTTATGCACATATGTTTATTTCGTGGTCTACTTCATAATCATCTGTGAGATTGCCTTCCTTTCATTCACAGTCACTTCCTCTTTCCTTTTGCAAATCCCTGCCATCATTGGTGTGACTCCAGCAATTACTGTCTCACACATAATGTGGAGGGAAATTGTACATTTTAAATTGTCTTTTATTGTAGTCTAAATGCTAGAAGTAGGTCGGGGAAAACAACAGTTGTAGACCGTGGCTAGGCCCAACAGCACAGTGACATCTTTCTGATGAGCTTACAGCTGCTTAAGACACTGGTGTTTGCTCCTCTTGCTCTGTAAATCCTTAGCTTTTTTCAGCAGATAGAGCCTTCCATGAAAGCCAACCATATCCTGAGCTGCACCAAAAGCAGTGTGGCCAGCAGGCTGAGGGAGGGGATTCTGCCCCTCTACTCTGCTCTGGCCCCACCTGCAGTTCTGCATCCAGCTCTGGGGTCCTGTTGCAGCAAGTCCAGAGGAGGGCCACAAAAATGATCAGAAGGCTGGAGCACTTCTTCTATGAAGAAAGGCTAAGAAAACTGGGGCTGTTCAGCCTGGAAAAGAGAAGGATGCAGAGAGAAGTTATTGCAGCCTTCCAGTACCTAAAGGGTGCAAGAAAGATGGGGACATGCTTTTTAGCAAGGCCTGCAGCAATAGGACAATGGTTTTAAAGGAGGGTACCTTTAGACTCATCATGGCTGGGCTTTGGGAACGAAGATTAGGGAAAGGTTTGTCACAAGCGCGCTGGTGGCTAAAAAGTCCAATATGAGACAGGCATGTCCAGTTGCAAAAGGCACAGCAGAAAGACTCCTTAGGTGGTAAATTCTGCAAGGCACGATTCTTTCTGCGTTGTCTTTTCACAGTGAGGGTGGTGAGACAGTGACCCAGGTCGTCCAGAGAGGTGGTGGATGCTGCATCCCTGGAAACATTCAAGGTCAGATTGGGATGGGGCTCTGAGCAATGTGATCTAGTTGAAAAT